AAAGTGTATTTATGCTTTTTTCATGCCATTTGTACTGCACATTGAGATACCACTTCCATGGCTTGTCTCAAATACTATATGCATCACAAAGCTTTTTCCCCCCTAGTATCACCCACAATGGTGTTGCGAGTCATTGCTTTTCACTTGAAATGAGGATAATATTAGCTTATAGAATGTTTGTTGTCATTAGTGTTAATCTTTGTATTACACATCTCTACTATAGTCCTTATAGGACAGACACTATCATTTGTTCTAATCCTTATACCACACACTCAACTCTCTTCCTTACTGGAGCTACGTGTCTAGAAAGTAGGAATGAGATTATATCTCTATCTTTGGATCCTAGCAACTTAGCACCAGAAGATTAATAAATAATAGACAGGAATGATTGCATAGCCTTATCTGTCTCAATCCTAAAATACTTTTCTACTAAATTGAGAGTAAGATTTCAGTCCTGTTTCCATAATTCTTTCTGGACACAACTGAATGACTAAATTAGATATAGAATTATAGATATAGTTTGTTCCTATTTCATTTTTATGCATATTTTATCAGGTTTCTAAATTTAGAAGGCATCCTCTATTCCATTTTTAAATTTCTCCCTAAATTTAATTCCATGATTCTGCCAACTTCTACTAGGATAGCAATTTTCCTTTGACTGAATACCAGCAAAGAATAACAAAGATTGGTCACTCTTTTATGTTACACAATCATTGTCTAAACTTGAGATTCCTTAAAAAAAAGGGAAGAATAGACCAAAGATTACTTACTAAAAATATGAGTACCCTCAAAAAGATAAATTGACACAGTAACTTCTGCAATAGGCTCAAGTGTGTCAGAGATGATGAATATAGCGCAAGATAGCACAGGGTTCAGATCTGTTGCTAACAGAGTCTCTGTGAGTTTTACTTGACTCAGCAGCCCCTTTCAATAACAATAACAACACACGCAAGGTTGTATTTTGGTTCTCGTGGACTTGTTTTCATTTTCTTCAATTTACAAATTAATAACTAGTAATCTGTTCCACAGTCAGCTCTTGGCCTTTTTTTGACTGCTAACATTGAGCTTCTCCACTGACTCTCTCCATAGATAATAAGTGTAATTCTTTTAAATTATGTGTCAATCTTATTTCCTTCCTGTCTAAAAGTTAACACCAAGGAGATAATTAATACCTGTATATATTTGTAAGCAAAATTCAGTCTTTTCAATTGAGCACAGTTCTATCTACTTTAACATCCATAAAGTTTCCATGAGTTGAATGACTAGACAGTAACTGGCTCATCAATAGTTATTTCCTTCCTCTTTCCTCCTTACAGGAAGGACCATTGTTGTTGTTGTTGTTGTTAAGTGCTGTTGAGTCATAGACAACTCATAGCAACCCTATGAATGAAAGGCCTGGACACATGTATAACTGGGGTCCTTTCTCCAGGTTCATAGGGCTTCCAGAGGCAAGCTATTTTGGAAGTGGATGCCACTCCTGCTTTCAGGCTTGTTTTAATCAGAGAGTTCCACCAAATACTGTCCATTATGGGTAACCATTCTCTCATTTGACACATCAATGTACAGTGTTTAACTTCACAGCAACTACAAGTTACCTCTGTACAGCAAGTGAACAGACCGGGCTATACAACCTAGAAGAATGTTTCACCAGAAACAATTAAAAACAGGCCTATGGGCCATGGATTAGAGTCACCCACCTTTGGCTTGGAAGCATGACTTTCTGTCCACTAAGCCAACTGGTCTCCTCTATGCTGTTGTTGTTACTGTTAAGTGCTGTCAAGTCGTAGGCGACTCATAGCAACTGTATGAACGAAAGACCTGGACACTTTTTACCTTTAGGAAGGCAAAAAGTACCAGGTACACGTGATTCCTGCTTTCCTTGCATCTAGGAATGAACAACAGACTGATGGACTCACCTAGGTAATGCCTTTTTCTCTTTAATAAACAGAAAGAAAACAGGTTTTCTATTTCTCAATATATGCAGATGTTGTTTGAAATATAGGTGCCAGAGGCTTAATAGATGAATTTGACAGGGGAGTGAGATACAGAGGAAGCTTTAGTGGATTAGTGGTAAGGAATTGTGCTGCTGACTCAAAGGCATGATGTTCAAATCCACTCACTTCTCCATGGGAGAAAGATGTACAGTCTCCTCTCATGTGATTTATTGCTGATCATGATTCCACTGGCTAACTGGAGTAGGTGCAATATTACTAAGTTTGCTGCCTCCATTTGCCATCATGTGTCAGAGAACTTTAAGGACCCAGAACAGGTGCCATCTGCCTTTGTAACTCTAAAACTAAGGCCATGTGCTACTTTTTTTGGGGGAGATGTAGAAAAATGCAGTCTATGTCAAATATTGTTGTTTTCTGAGGCTGTTGAAAACTATTAGAATAAAACTGAAAATATTTATACTTCTGTTTTTTAGGATCTGTACAAAGAATCTTGATGATACAGTGGTTAAAGTGCTTGGTTACAGACCAAAAGCTTGAGGTGTCAAATTCATCTGCTTTCATATGATTTGCACTTTGGGAACCCTATGAGGTTGTTCTATTTACACCCAGGGAACTCTCTGGGATGGCTCTATTCTGTCCTATATGGTCACAATTATTTAGCATAGACTCAATGGCAGCAGGGTATAGGAGTATACACAGATTATTCTAGCATAAGTAATATGACCTCAAGCAATTTGATGAAGAGGTCAATGATCTCTCTGAGTCTCAGAGTCCTCACAAGGTGATGGGAATGACTTAGTCTACCAGTCATAAAATTATACTGCTTTTAAATTTATTTTACATCAACTGTTTTCTTATAAACTACCACAGTGTTGTTAAAGAAATTCTCTGTATTATGAATCATATAACAATAAAAAAATCAGGACTTTAGAAGGAGAAGAAAAAAAAGATAGATGGTATGGTATAAAAGTAGAATATGATCATATGTAACAGACCACTGAAACAGAAGATTGTAGTGTTCTGGGCAACCAACTATAAATCTCAAGCCAGTTTTCTAAGCTGGCAGTAACTGTCGGAATGTTGGCCTTTGCTCACTTGGTTGCTAGGGAGACTTTAAAAGATATGTGCAGCTTAGGTTTCTGATTTCCTTCTACTGCTACATCATGGTCAACTACCTATTTTCAAATGTATTAGGCAAATTAACACAAATCTTATTTATATGATAGTCTTAATTTTTTTGAATGCACTTATGTGTATGAATGTATATGTGGATATAAACACATATGTACACACACAGACACACACAGACACACACACACACACACACTAAGCTGCACTGAAGAAACTGGCAAAAAAAAGGCTCCAGGAATTGACAGGAAACCAACTGACATATTGCAATTAACAGATGAAATCCTGGACAGGCTCACCAGTCTATACCAGGAAATTTGGAGGATTTCTGCCTAGCCAATTAACTAAAAGAGATTTATATTTGTTTATCAAATAATAGTATTACTATCATATGTAAGAAAAATATTGCTAAAGATCACGCTAAAACAGTACATTAACAAGGAACTGCCAAAAGTTCAAGTGGAATTTAGAAGAGGCCTTTGTACCAAGAATATCACTGCTGATGATAGATGGATCCTCGCTGAAATCAGTGAATACCAGAATAATGTCTATCTGTTCTTTACTGACTTTGCAAAGACATTTAACTGTGTGGATCATAAAAAATAATGGCTAACACTGAGAAGAATGGGAATCGATAACACTTAATTATATTCAGACAAAACATATACCTTGACCAAGAAGTTTTCCAAATGGAGCAAGAGAACATTGCATGTTTTAAAATCAGGAAGGACATGAGTGAGATGTTAATTGTGGAACAGATTATCAACTACTCATATGCAAGTTCTTCAGCTAAAGGAAAACTAAAACAAATTATCAAGAACTGAAATTTGACGTTGAGTCTATTCCACCTAATTTTAAAAAACAATCTCAAGAACAGGTTTGATTCTTTGAACACTAATGAACAAAGATCAGATGCGCTGTGGGAGGATATTATGGAACATCATCCATAAAGAATACAAAACATTACAAAGGAGGAAGGGAACAAAAAATCAAGACATATGTCAGAAAAGACTTGGAATATGCACTAGAATGCAGAGAAAGCAAAGGGAAGAAATCAGAAAGTTAAGGAGTTGAACTGATGATTTCAAATGGCAGCTCACGGCAAAAGCCAAAGTATTACAATGAAATGTTCAAAGAGATGGAGTCTGAAAATTAAAAGGGAAGAACTTGCTCAGCACTTCTCAAGCTAAAATAACTGAAGAATAAATTCAAGACTTGGGTTTCAATACTTTAAAATTCTATGAGACGGACTTGAGAACCCCTTGCATATAAACTGCTTAAGTTAGTGCCCCTGATCTCCTGTCACTTCAGAGACAAATGAAGACATTACACTTAAGGAGAGCAGGCACATCAGGTGGGATACTGCCCTCTAGATCTAACATTTTTGGGTGCTTGTGGAAAGACAGGGACTGAAATTTCCCTGGGGATAGCTCCCTCTATTTGGGGATCCTTGCATCTGTAGTTGTGGGGCCATCCCAAGGGTAAACAAGACAAGAAAGTTCGGGACACAGAGCCACAAGAAGGGGAAAGAAGTTTCTCAGCTTTCTGTGAGAAGGAGGGACAACTTGAGATCCCCTTGCACACAAACTGCTTGAGGTGGTGGCCCTAATCTTGTACCACTTCAGAGACAAAGGAAGATATTAAGCTTCAGGACAGAAAGTGCATCTGGTGAGGAACTGCTTCACAGAGTGAGCTCTTTCCAGTACTTATGGGGAGACAGAGGACTGGAACTTCCCTAAGGATATGTTCCTCCATTTGGAGATACTTGTCTCTGTGGCTGTAGGACTATCCTGGGGCCAAAGAGGACAAGAAAGTTTGGAACACAGAGCAACAAGGAGGGGAAAGACTTTTTCAACCGACACATTGAGCTGGAGTACCTGTTCTCATACCACTCAGTCAATCCATAGACAAAGTAAGACAATGGGGTTTGGGACAGGGGACTACATTAAGGTGAGATTCCTGCAGGTCTGTAGTGGAGACCAGAGAGAACTTGAAGGACTTTAGTAAAGGCAAATTTCTCCAGAAAAAACTTTCAGTAGAGTGAGTGGCTTACCCCATAGATTGAACATTTTAAACTGGCAACTACTGAGGTAACATCATAAAGGTAAGCTAGAAATAGCCTAACACTTACCAAGAAAAGCATCATATAATGTTAATAAAGCAGCAGGCATCTTCAAACACGGTAAAAAACCAGCCAAACAAACAAATTATGCCTTCTCCAAAAAGAGTAGAGATATTGAGCCGGAATAAACATATTGATGAGGAGGAACTTGCACAGCTACAAAAAAAAAATTTAAAAAAATACAAAAAAAATGGAAGAAAGAATTGATACTATAGATAAAGAGGTACAAGAACATAAAAACTCATCACAAGCTAGACAGGGTACAGCCAACACAGTACTGGAACTAATAGAGACACATGAAAATACAATCCAGAATATTAAGACTGAACTGTCAGAAGTGTCCAACATGCTGGAGGTGCAAAGAGAGGTGGAACATAAAGCCAGTGTGCTGGAAGATAAGAGACAAGGACTGCAATGGAAACATACTAAAAGAAAATGAGAGGTGAGACATAAAGAAAATGAAGAAAACAACAGTATCATGTGGGATGACATCAAAAGGAACAAGATTCATATGACTGGAATTCCAGAATACAGAAAGTACAGGGAAATCACTGAGAAAACTTTGGAAGTGGTATTAAAAGAAAACATCCCAAGTGCTATGAAGAACCAGGTATTATGAAGAATTATGAAACTCACATTCAAGAAGCTCAAAGAATACCAAAAAGACTAGACCTCAAAAGAAAAACATTAAGACATAGAAATTCTCCAAACCAAAAGGCAAGAATTCTACAAGCAGAGTGAAAAAAACAGAGTCATCTGCAAAGGAAAATAAATTAGATCAAGTTCCGATTTTTCAGTAGAAGCCATGTGAGCAAGAAGACAATAGGATGGCATATACAGAAAGATGAGAGAAAACAATTGCCAACTGAGAATCCTGTATTCAGCAAAGCTATCAAATATGAAGGGAAAAATCACATCCTTTACAGAAAAGAAAGAACTTAAGGAATTTGTGAAGAAAGACCAAATCTATAAGAACTTTTAAGGGAATTCCTTCATATACACCAAAGTAAAGTGGATGGACCATAATAACTAGAAACAAACAAACAAATAGAAAGAAATACAGCAAAATGGCAATAATAAATGCTGGACTGACAATAATCACATTTAATGTGAATGGGCTAAAGTAACAAACCAAGAGAAAAAGGGCAGCTGAATGAATAACAAAAAACCCCAAAACTCAAAGCTCATTAATATGTTGTCTACAAAGAGACACATCTAAGAAATTAAAAGAAAGATTCAAAATCAAAGGCTGGTGGGGAAAAAATAAGTATACCAAGGAAATAGTATCCACAAAAAACAACAACAACAAAAACCAGAAACAAAAAACAAACAAAATAACAAAAAACCAAAACAAGAATGGCAATAATATTAACAAAACCAGGAGCTGGTTTTTTGGAAGGGTCAATAAGATTGACAAACCATAGGCAAATTTAACAAAAGAAAAAAGGAGAAGACACAAATAACTCGATTAACTAATGATAGAGGTGACATCACAACAGAACCAGAAGAACTTAAATCTATAATATTGTACTATTATGAAAGTATCAGAGAAAAGTGAATGGGGAGGGAGAGGGGTGGGGTTAAGGAGTAAAATATGCAACAATGAATGAATGGAAATCCAAGTTTTCTGTAAACTTTCATTAAAATATCAATTAAAAACAAAAAGATTCACACAGAAAAAGAAAGTATCTATACTCTGATCAAGTTGAAAACATAGAGGAAATGGACAATTCCTTAAAATTCATGTACTACCCAGACTGACATGGATAGATGTAGAACAACTGAATAGACTCAAGACAAAAGAAAAATTGAGCAAGTCATAAAAAGACTTCCCCATAAGAAGAGATCCTAGATCAGATGGCTTCACAGCTGAATTCTACCAAACATTCAGAGAATATCTGTCACCAGAAAAAGCATGAACACCCGGAGAGTCCTGTTATGAAACAAGCATAACTTGAATATCAAAAGCAGATAAAGATATTGCCAAGAAAGAAAACTAGAGACCAAAAATTTGAACACAGAAACTCAGTATGACTCAGCCATTTCACTACTAAGAACATTGTTGTTGTTGTGTGCTGTCCAGTCACAGGTGACTTATAGTGACCCTATGAACAACAGTCCTAAACCCTGCTCTATCCTGTGCCAGTTTTATTGTCTTTACCCCAGTCACTCAATCAATCCATCTCATCGAGGGTCTTCCTCTCCTGCACAATCCATCTACCCTCCCAGGCATGATGTCCCTCTCCAAGGACAGATCCTTCCTTGCAACATGCCCAAAGACTAGGGATGATAAAAGGAGACTTGATGTCTTTGAGCTGTGGTGCTGGAGAAGAGTACTGAATATACCATGAACTTCTAAGAGAATGAACAGGTTCGTCCTGGAGAGGGTTAAATCAGACTACTCCTTGGAGGCAAGGATTCTAAAGCTTCCTCTAACATACTCTAGACTAAGAATATATTCCAAGGAAATTAGAAAATGAGACACCAAAGGAGATTTGTACACCAATGTTCATAACAGCGTTATTCACCATTGCAAGAACATGGAAACAGCCCAGATGTTCAACCACAACTAAATGGATTGAGAAACTGGTACATTCACACAGTGGAATACTATGAAGTACTCAGTACTTGTATAATATGGAAGAGACTTGGGAGTATTAAGCTGAGGTGAACTAACTCACTCTCAAAAAAAATGCTGCATAAGACCATTATTGTCAAAATAGAAGGATAACTAGTAAAACATGTATGGGAACCTAACAGGGGAAGAAGTAAGAGCAGAGAGGTGAGGATAAGTAGGGGGAAAAAACAAAAGGGGGCAAAAAACGGGTGGGGAAAGGAAGGGGGTGAAGGAAATGGGAAAGATCCAGTTGGGACCTAAAAAGACATGGTAATGGTGGGTAATATAATGCATGGGAATGACTCTATGAAACAATGTGAATGAAGAACAGTGTGAAACACAATTTATACGAACTTTGTAAGCAAACCAATATAAAATTTTAAAAAATTAAAAAGAGATCTTAACACATACACACACAAAATTGCTACAGGTAAATTACTGAATGATCCAGGAAATATCAAAAGATAGAAGGAATATTGGCTGATGCAGAAGAATTTCATGAAACAGCATAACATCAAGAGACAATGGTGAGGAAGGAGGAAGTTCAAGTTACTATGAAGGAACTGGAAAAATACAAGAATACAGGAATTGATGGAATACCAATTGACATATTTCAACAAACAATTGCTGCCCTGGACATGCTCATCAGGATTTGCCAAGAAATCTGGAGGACTACATTCTGGTAAACTGACTAGAAGAGATTCATATTTATTCTTATTCCAAAAAAAGGTGATAGAGTGTGAAAATTATTGACCAATATCACTAATATCACAAGTAGTAAAATACTGCTGAAGATTATTTTAAAAAAATTACTGCACTGGAAGGCAGTTTAGCACTTCCTCAAAAAGATGAACATAGATATTCCATATGACCCAGCTAATCCACAGCTTAGAATATAACCTGAAAAAATGAGAACTGAGACACAAATGGAGACTTGTACACCAATGTTAATTGTTGTTGTTGTTAAGTGCTGTCAAGTCATAGACGACTCATAGCAACCCTATGAACAAAAGACTGAAAAATTGTATAACTTTCTTTGTTTCTCCAAGTTCATAAAGTTTCCAGAGCCAAGCTACTTCAGAAGTGGATGCCACTCCTGCTTCCAAGCTTGTATCATCAAGGAGCTCCACCAAACACTGTCCACCATGGGTAACCATTATCACATTTGACACATCAGTGTCTCAGTATTCAACATCACAGCAACCACGAGTTACTTCTCTATAGGAAGCAGACAGACTAGTGTTATGCCACTTAGAAGAATGTTTGACCAAAAACAAATAAAACCAAGCCTGAGGGCCTGCGGCCCTGGGGCCCAAATGAATTTTCAAAGGCTTCAGGCCCATCTATGCTTCAGGTTCTCATTGGTTCCCAGCAAGAGGTGTCCAGCCAGTCCAACAGGACTCAGAGTCTTTCCATACCAACAGAGAAAGAGCACGCCTCCGAAGCCACATGTATTTTCAAAGGCTGCAGGTCTGCCCATGCTTCATATTCTCATTGGTTCCCAACAAGAGGCATCCAGTCAGCCAATAGGACTCAGAGAATGTTATTCACCATTGCAAGAACATGGAAACAGCCCATATGTCCAACCACAGTTGAGTGGCTTGAGAAGTTATGGTACATTCATACAATGGAATAATACGTAACATGTAGGAGTAATGATTTTGTACCTAACTGGGGAGGGTCTTGAGAGTATTATGCTGAGTGAACTAATACAGACCCATAAGGAAAATACTGTAAAAAATCATTACTGTAGAATGAGTATGAGGATCTAAGGGGGGCTGGGGCAGGGAGAATAGAAGCAGAGAGATGAGAAATTGCTGGGGGGGGGGATTAATCATGGGGTCACACAATTTAATGGGTGGGTGTGTTAGGGAAATGGGAAGCAACTGGTGTGAAAAACAATGTATTTCAATTTTATAAATAAACTAGTATTAAAAAAACAAAACAAAACAAAACAAAACAAAAAAAATGACTGCAACAGAACATCAACAGAGAATTTCCAGGAATACAAGCTGGGTTTAGGAGAGGCCATGGCACCAGGGACATCATTCAGACATCATCAGATGGGTCTTGACTTAAAGCAGAAGGATGCCTATTTGTGTTTTATTGACGATGCAAAGGCCTTTGCCTGTGTGGATCGAAAGAAATTATGACTAATCTTCAGAAGAAGAGGAATCCAGAATACTTGATTGTGTTCATATGAAACCTATA